GGTCTCTCTCTTGACCAAGTGGTCCTGCCCTTCTGGCGGGATTATTCAGAACTACACGTTATGTCAAGCCACCAGGATCAACTGAGTCCTTGCTGTGCTGGGGGCCACCAAGATGAGTAGGACACTGCAGCTCCCAAAGAGGTGGGATAGGGATTGTGATCTGTCAGCTGGTGGGTGTTTGTATATAGTTTTCCCATTACTGTCTGTGAGAATCATGTCTCTTTTTTTGTATGATTTTCAGAGGCCTACCAAGGATAGGTGTTCAATACAATGCTGAGTGTACATAAACCTTTTTTTTTTAACCATAGTTTCAAAATTGACCTATTTTCTAGCTTTGTTCTGTTCATATAGTTGTTAAACATAACAAAGTCCCATTTATTTTCTTGTTAAAACACATGAGAACATTTTCTAGAAGCTGGAGATCAAACTATTTCACCTGTTTGGTCCAGCAGTACATGAGATGATCGCATGTGATACCAAATAATGATGCATGCAGACTTTTCATACTAATCAGCTACAAGTCACTGAATGCCCACCCTGAGCCAGGTGCTGTGGGAAGCCAGACCCTGGGGAACGTAAGATGTGCTTTCTTCCATGAAAGAGCTTCAGTCTATTGAGGAGACCTGATGCTCATGCAAAATAATTTGACCATGCAAATTAATTCACTGCTAACTAAGCAGCGTGGTACACCTTGGAATGCAGTGGGACTTCAAAATGGTGATGTGGAGCCTGACGTTGGGTAGGATTTTGAGGACCAGAGAGAACTGCTGGAGATACACACCAAGCATGACCACCCCTGCTGAGTAAGCTGACAGACTAAGGATCTCTGTCCTTTTTTCTTTTATCTTGAGTATTCTGGTGGCACAACCAGAGCTAGGCTTTGAGTCATAAGTCATCTGTCTGACACAAGTGTTGTCTTCTTCAACAAACTGTTTTCTTTGTTTTGAAAATGAGAGAAAAATAGAAGTACCATTTCTCCCACCTAAAATAAATGGAGGCCTGTAAAGGGCTGGACTGGATTAATGAGGTAGAGCAGCGCCTTACTGGCCCAGTGACCAGAGCGCTCCATCATGCAGCTGTGAGCTGAGAAATAGGCCAGGAAGGCCTCCAGGGTATCATCATAAATGTTGGAGTTTCTGCAGTTTTCTCAGGGAACCCTCAACTTCACTAGAGCTGACACACTGATTGCCTGGGAAACCTGCCTTAGTGGATTAGAGAGAGAGGGGACAGTTGCTAGAGAGAAGCACCTGGAAGTTCTACTTAACTGGCTTGACTGTGTGCTAGGTGCTAAGAATAGAAAGTGAGTGAGAGCCTCATTCCTCCTCTGTAGAGTGGGTGTGAGGATACTGCTCATCTCTGTGGATAGTGCTGACCAGGCAGCAAGACAGTGCACGTAAACCTTTTGCAGGATGCTTGGCCTTTCTAAGCACTCCACACATGTTCTGGGGAAATGCTTATGGTTCTTGACATAGTGATGTGTTTTTACTCAAAGGAAAATAAAAAGAATCATATTAGAAAGCTGTTATTACTTGGGCCTTCACATAGAAAAATTTTGGCTGTTTGTCAGTCCAAAATCATCTTGTGCATATAGTTATATGTATTAGCCAAAGCAGGCCAGGCTGCGTTCCAGAAATAATTAAAGCCCCAAGTTTCAGTGGCTTTGCACGATAGAAATCTGTGTTCCTGAACTCCACCTCTTTTCCCTGAAGTGTTCTTTGGCCATATCAGAGCTGTCCTCCCTGTAGTAGTGACTAGGGTTTGGAATTCCTTCCATACTGTGATGCCACCATTTTAACATCTGGTTTGCAGAGTAGCCACAGCAGGAGAAGAAAATGCTAGAGGGTCTCAGGGTGTTTTTTTTAGCCTACCCGCAAGGAAAGCTGGGGAATGTCTTCCTTTGTGGCCAGAACTGATAATAAACCAGAGATTCATTTCTGCCAAAATAGGACTCTGAAGTGCTCCCAAGTCTGGACAGCCAAGTGTGTAGTACAGAGGCTCTCTCCTGTGTAATCACAGGCAGTCACATTCTCCTTTCTTCTTTCATTCTCCAGGTGGCAAATGGTAGGGTCCAAAGCCTTGAAGCCACAGTCCAGAAGCTCCTGACCAGTGAAAGCAAGCTGAAGCAGGCCGCCCTCGCTTTAGAGCTGGAGCGGTCAACCCTGCTGCAGACGGTCGAGGAGCTGCGGAGGCAGACTGCAGAGCTGAGCCCGTGGGAGCCTGCCTGCGCACAGCCCAGGCCTACAGGCGACTGATAGCTCCAGAGGAGAGACTGCGACACATCCCCACACTGTCCAGGCCTTAACTGAGAGAGACAGAAGATCCTGGAGGGAGAGAGGGAGGCGTGAAGCGTGCTTCTCAGGGAGGAGACTGGCTTGCCAGCGTGCAGATTCTTATGAACTCAGACCTGCAATTCAGGGGGCAAATATCCCAGTGTTTTTGTTGTTTTAGGTTCTAATCCATCCCTTCTTCAGTCCTGAGTACTGTACTCGGTAGCTTTAGATGGCATGGACATGAATAAATGCACCTTTGTTTCCTTGTTGTTTCCTTTTTTCAGTGTCACGGTATTTGTAAAGAGCATTCATAATACTGTGGAATTTCAGAAGATGGAAGGGTTTGCAATGGTTCCTCAGGCAAAGGCATGGGTTCATCATTCTTCCAAAGGATTTGTGTGACAACACTCTCACTGGTAGTGTCACTGGCAAGGTGTAGCTGGCACTTGTCCACTCTTGTTATGGTAAGATAGCCACTGGGAAGGATTTATTTAAATTGGACATATTGATCACTATCAAGTGACTTTGATCACTATCCTTGGTATTTAAGGAAGTTTTTCTTTAAAAAAACAAAAACAAAAAATTTCCATACATTTTTGCCTGTTCTCTAAGTATAACTGATTAAAGTCATGGTAGATAAATGTTTTATGTGAAAATTACCATTTTTCAGACTCTCCCAGGTGTTGCTACCATGTGACTTGCAATTGTGGGGTCTGAGATATTTCTTTGTGATAATTTCTTATTCATATTCAAGTCATGTATTTATTTTTGCCTGTTGTATGATGTAGTGCAGCTGTGTGTCCCTTTGAGTATCAATCCTTTGGAAATTTGCTTTCTTGTAGAAGGAACAGGGCACATCAAGACTTTCAGGGGTGCCCAAGAATCTGGGACTTTCAAAAACAGATCAGGCTGAAATTGCCATCAGATGTATGGTAGCTGACAGCAGTTTTTCAGAGGTGGGATGTGTGTTTTGAACACAACTCACAATCCAGCATCTCCCTCCCTCAGGTGATGGGGACTCTGTGCCTTCAACAAGCAAAACGCTGCTTACAGTTGCCTGGGTTCAGCGGGTCACTGTGTAAGACCTCTTTAGTGTGCTCTTGGGACGGGTTTTGGGTTTGTTTTTTTTTTTTCCTTTCTTCAAAGGATTGGTTTAGAGAAGACCTGCAGGCACAGGTCACTTCCTTGACAGCAGAATAATTTCTGGTCTTTACTTTATAATCATAAGCACCTCTATTCCCCAGGAGTTAATTTGACTCTTGATGGTGGGGTGTCTTTGAAGCCTGGGCTGAAAGGAGGGATTTCCATAATTGGAGTTATTATCAGTCTCCCTGGTCATTTCAAAAGGAGACCAAAGTGCCTCCCCCAGTGCCTAAACAGTTGGGTGGCATTTGGGACTCTCTCCTGTTCCCTGGGCCAGAGTGTAGCGGTTCTCGTCACAAACCAAGATAAGGTAGGTAGCCTTTATCCTGAATGGCTCCACCAGATTAACTTAACGGAGTTAACATTGAAGGCTTCTTTCCCCATCGTATTTTACTGTTTGAATGTTTAATAATGTTGAATTTTGGATATCTTATTACTGTGACACAAAAACATTGACTCTGCATTAAGTAAGAAACAAGAAAGCAATAAAACAATCCATGCCCACCTTTTTATGGTGTTTGTTTATTAATTTCGGGTTTTTGGTTTTCATCCAGGAATAGAGGGGTGCATCATGCACACCTAGGGTCTAAGTGTGAGTGTTACCTAACCTTCAGTGACATCTTTCTCCAATGATGTTCGTGTCTGCTTCCAGTATTATTCCCCACGTTTGCTGTGCTGTACCTCCTCAACACAGTGTGAGTATTAGCACTGAGGAGGCCAGCTCCATCCATTATACAATGGACGAGTGCCATTATGAGATCGCACTGGGCACAGGGGACTGTGGACAGGTCCTGTGGACGTAGGATGGACACAATCTTGGCTTGTGACTTAGCAAGGGGAAGAAAGCTACATGGAGGCAACTTGCATTGCTGTGCGAGGGTTCTGAGGCAAATGTTTAAAGTACGTGTCGTGCCACATGTTCCCCAGCACACAGCTGTATGCACGCACACATGCACCTCGAGGTTGTCTTTCTTTTGGTACAATTTATGCCTCTTATGCTTATGTCGTGAGCCCTCAAGAAGCACACTACTGTAGAGAACATGGATGAGACTCTCTTCATGGTGAGCACTCAGTTCGGTTCCCTCTGACGGAGTTACACGTAGATAGAACGAAAGTGTCCACTTTGGGATCTGTGTCTGCTTTGGTTGGTGAATCGGAAGCATTGCTCTGAGTGCTATGGAACACCAGCTTTTGTTACAGGAATTAGACCAGACACAGCCGTGTGAAGAGCTGGAGAAAGTGAAGGTCTGGAAGGGGTGTGTGAATCAGGAGAAGTCACCAGTTAGTCCATCTGCAAAGCAAAGCAACGCAAAGCACAGTCTGCTGCTGCAGCAGGCCTAGGCAGGTGGCATGTGGGGGCTGCCCCAGAGGGGCAGCCTTGGGTGACATTCCTGGGAAGAGGAGCTGGAGGTGAAGCAGAGGAGAATGAGGACAAGCTGCAACTGGCCAGGCACCTCTGTGTCCATCCATCTCCACATTTGAGGATGATGACCAGAGAAAAATGGCCCTTGCTTCACTTTGCCTTCCAAATGTCATACCAGCTCATCTTAGAACCAATTTTGACTCGGAACAACCAGGCAAAGGGACTCTGGAAAATGTAGTTCTGGAGTAACCAAGTTGACATAGAATCCTGCCTAATTTGAGTGATGGCATGCATGTATGAGTGATTGTAGAGAGACCCTGCGTCTAAGTATATACCATCAGTGATCTGTGGAATTCAGGTTCTTAGATTGATTTTGACATTGGAGATGAAAAGCTCCAGGAGACTTCGTGCCACCCTTCATCTGCTCGCCTCTGCCAAGTGTGACCAAACATTCTACAAACTAAAATCCAGAAACTTTCTATGTGGTAAGATAATTTCCAAGCCACGTTGTCTTAAATTTAAACTCTGCTTTAGAATTTGGCATGGCTCAAAATAATCTTGGACTGGGAAAGCTAGAGGGAAACCTACTTCATACTAGGAAATCACCTCCCACCTCATTTTGTAGAGAAAAAAAATCTAAGAGGTGAAGAGAGGTTTGAAATGATTGGCTATAGAATCAGAGTAGATCCTGAGTCTCCTGGCTGCCTAATAGTGGACACCACCTGGCTTTAATTCCATGAGTTTTAGAACCATCTATTCAATTTACAAAGCAAGGAGAGGTCTGCCTTATTTTCACAAAGGTAATCTGTATTGTAAATAGTCCAAATCAGGTTCTCCTATGAAATGCCCCAGAAGCCTTAATCTATGATGAGTTAAAACTGGGGGGCTCTGCAGCAAGTGACCAATGTGTGGACTCAGAGGCAGAGGAATTCTACAACAGGATCTGATTTGATTAGATACAGTGTTTGTTCTTGATAGCTGTTTCTTTTTTATCTTTGGACTCTTAGAAAACCTCGTATTATAGTGTTTTTAGAAGAAAAATATCAATACAGAATTGCCTTTGGTTTTATAGAAGGAAAACCTTCCATTACATAAAGTGTTTTGCTGCCATCTCTAAAAATGATTAGAATGATTAGGGAAATGTAAGAATTGTGGAGCAGTCACAACAGTCGTTATTTGGACAATTTAAAATTGGTGACAAAAAATGAAAAAGCATATTAGTATCTAGGCTTCATAGATACCTGCCTTTATATCTCTAATTCTAATGTGAATAATTACCTGACTGTTTTGGTTATAAACTCTAATAGCAAACTGTTTAAATTTATACCACCTTACGTATGTTTATTAATAAATTTTGTGCATGAGTAAATTGTATTATAAAAAAGAAGTTTTGAATGAGGTAAAATCAATTGTTTAAAAATGTTAATAATAGCGCTGGCTGGTTAGCTCAGTTGGTTAAAGTGCAGTGTTTTAACATCAATGTCAAGGGTTCAGATCCCCGTACTGGCTGGACACCAAAAAAAAAAATAATAATTCAAAATAAAAACGTTAATGATAAAATCACTATCCAGTGTTTTTAAGGACGATAAACACTTCATTAAATGTTTTAAGACTGATAAAATAATTCACATGTCAGTTTCTAAGTTCAGTCTAATTTGATGGTTGGTTTTAATGTACTGTCATGGCTGAAAAAAGATGGCTTCCAAAAATCTAATAACTCTAAATGGAGGAAGAATGCTACGGGTCACATTAAGTCATGATGCTTTATTCATTTTTATTTACCTATTATGCAAAGATTTTTGTCGAAATCTGTCTAGAGAATTTCCATCCTCTCTGATGCAGGCAATGCAAACTAATCAAAACGTGTTTAGAGTTTTATAATTATAACCAAAGGCTTTAAAACACTGAAAACTCTTCATTTGGAAAGTTTTGAACAAGTTATAAAAGGGTTTCCAAGTTTGAGTAAAACCCTAACAAACATGATTTTTGGCCAAAACGTGACTTAAACCATGGAAGCAAATCCAAACACCCTTTTCTGAAAAGCCCTCTTTGCAGCACTTTCTCAGTAATCTTTTCTTGGGCTCACCCTCCTTGGAGCCCTCTGTTCTGGACGATGTGGCAGGGGTGCAGGTGGGAGCATCTAGCCTGCGGATCTTCTTTCATCACGTGGCCACTGACTTACCTGCATGTGCCTGCTGTGGACATGTTGTCTCGCCCCCCACCCTTCCCCACAGTGCCACATGAGACTTGAGGTTCTCAGCCAGCAAATTGCTCGGCTGAGCAGAGCAGAGCAGAGAGCTGACAGCTCTCTGTGTGTTGAGAAGAGAGCCTATGAGTCACCCTACATGAATCACAGCACTTTATTGCCACAGTGCCCTTTCCTCAGACGCACTGAAGGTAAAATAGCCTGGACAACCCCACGCAGCCAGGGGAAACAACTTCGTTACATTCTTTTTTCCAGATTTTTCTGCTTGTCCTCGCTCTTCTGACTACATCTTCCTGCCCTTCTTTTTCTTAGTCCATATTTTTATCTATGCTGACCATTTTCAAGTGTCTCCTTCCTGCTCTTCTAGAATTTCTTTTTTCTAAACCCTGTAACTATGTTTCTAATTTCTCCCAACTATAGGAAAAGCTGACTAACTACTGTTAAACTCCGGCTTTGGATTTCAGCACCCTGCAGGGTGACATCCTGAGGTACCATCTTGGGGAACCTGTGCAGGTGGTAAAGTAGCACATTAGGGAAGTAGAGTCAAGTTTGCTTGGGGTCTATTTAATGATATGAAAGTTCTGCCCATCTCGGTTCTTTCTATACTTTCTGCCAAGGAGGACATGATCTATTTTCCTTACTTTGAAGAACATGACCAGCAACTTTATTCCTAAGTTTGATACACTCAAGTCATCTAAGTGGCTTAGTTATTAGGATAAAATTAGCTTTTTCACTCAGGTTCCTCTCTCTTTGCTATAGCCCCCCATCTGCACGTAGTGTAGAGTAGGCCTTGCCTGCCTCTCTGGCACCACTGTGCAGGCCGGGGCTCACCTGCCTGCCTGCTCTTGCTCCTTCTAGCAGTTACAGTGCCCCTACTAGGTACCAGGCCTTGTTGTAGGTCTTGGTACTACAAGGTAAGTGTCTGCCATTGTTGAGCTTTTTTCCTAGCGGGGCAGACAGGTAATTGACGTAAGTAAACACAAATTAATCATGGGGTTGGGGCTGCCTACACAGAGTGGACAGAGAAGTCTCAGCTGAGAAGCTGTTGTTCAAGTGAGACTGGAAG